TTTGAAGGAGGCATTCGTTGAGATGGAATGACCAGTATTGACGAGATGTTCGATTATTGCACTCCTTATATGGCCATTATTTTCTTTTCTGTAGCCACGCTGGATAGTGTTCTTTTACCCTTTTAGACAGGATGCGCGTTGAACGACCGATGTACCTGGCTCCACAGCAACAGGTGAACTGATATATACACATAGAAGTGGTCATGTGCGGAATCTTGTCCTTTGGGTTTCTGCAGATCAGCGGGCGACTGGAGAACACTATTCTTAGTGTTGCCGCAGGGAAAGTTCTTCCTAAAGAGGTGGAAATTCTCCTTCTGAGGACGTCACTAAATAGGTCTCCTTTGAAGTCTAGGTTCGTATAAAGTATCTTTTTTGGCACGTTCAACGCGCATCCTGTCTAAAAGGGTAAAAGAACACTATCCAGCGTGGCTACAGAAAGGAAATAATGGCCATATAAGGAGTGCAATAATCGAACATCTCGTCAATACTGGTCATTCCATCTCAACGAATGCCTCCTTCAAAGTAATCTACAAAGTGAAGAACAACCTTCCAAAGACAGTACGATTCCGTCTTCTTTGCATCGCAGAAGCCCTAGCCATCCAGTCGGAGGAACCAGAACTATGCATACAAAAGAAAATTATCCAACCACTTCTACTCGCATGGTAACTACTCCTTTGATTTTACCTAACTTTTCTTTGTTTGTTTGATTTGACCTTACTTCTGTTTGTATGCTTATTTTTCTAACTTAAAACCCTTGTGTAATTCTGTATATTATTTTGTTTCCATGTACACCCTTTGAGCACAACTCATTCATCAAACTATTCATGCCATTACGTAACTCTTATTTAACAATCATTTATGACAACTCATCACTTTTGTTGCTATCCTCTTATCAACATCCAATTCATCTGAACTTACTAATTGTATTTTCGTTTGTCAACTTTAATGTATACACACACACACACACACACAAAATAACCATATATATTTGCGATTGTACAGCTATGAAAATGAATTCGCCGAAAAGAGACTCTTCGCTGAACTAGTCTTCTGTCTATTAAAATTTTTCGTTGCAAGAATTTACTAGTGATTTCTTTAGTCTGTAGACCGCTCATGAGAAGCTGACGAAATAAAAGATGGTGGTACCATCTTATCTTATTCTGCACAAATCGCTTTTTTCTTGATAAATATTTATATTCAAGAAGGAGAATGAACGTGTGAAGAAATTCGTTTTACGTCATAGGTACTGTTGATTGTGATATTATGTGGATTTTTTTAAGCTTTTGAGGTATAGATACGATGATAACAAGACTAAAATTCAAACGTTACTGATTCGTGAATTGTTAAATAACTTTTTAGAAATATGCTCAATATCGAAAGAGTTGTTCGCTTTGATAAGTGTGATTAAAAATGACATTCAGAGGAGGGAAAACACTACAAGATAGCGTCAAACACTATTTCGTGGGTTATCAGTGATCACTTTCTATTTATCTTGGAGTAAACTGGTGGATGGTTTCTCGTACCAATGAAGGATTCCAGCGGGATGAGCATTTCACCCTCCTATTTGGGACTTACCCTTCAGTTAGCTGTATGTACCCGCATTTCCCAGTGATGGACTGATGGTTTCCCAACCCCTCGCTCACTGAGAGAGGCTCAAACCCATTACCAACAGTTTCCACCATCCATCAATTCGCTTCAAGGTACGTGATAAGAGGTCATCAAAGCGTGCGCACAACGATTTAATATGTTAACCTGAGGCAGCCTGTGCACCTCGATTCATTCAGTCTGTCAATCAACGGTAAAGGCGAAATGAAATTCATTTTTGTATTATAGAATGAATCAGTTTCAGAATATTGCATTCATATGGTCGGGAGTCTTGACTTAGGCATCATCAATCAAGACTTTTACACGACAGCTGCCTCAGACTGTAGCGATGATATTTACTGACATTTACTTGACCAGGAAAGAGAAGCAACAAGAATGTTTGGAAAGAAAAACAAACAACCTATCATCCAACGCATATATCAAAGAAAAACGGTTATGAATGCGACACGCACTCTTTGGGAGGAGGGACTGTTCAGTGATATAATGAGCCAAGCAAGCTGCAGAGTGAAATCTGAATGATAAACAAAGAAAAGTAGAACATGGTTCCCATTTGTATTATGGAGAAGGAGATGAAGGCTTATTGAGAAGTCAGTGAGGCAGCTTTGAAAGTCTTCAGAGAACATAATGGAATGAAGATGTGCCTCATTTGTAGCCTTTCGTATTATGTAACTAACGGTGAAATGGGAGAAATGAGAGTTATAATGGTAAAGTGGACTGGAGATCCCAGAACTAGTTTCACTGTTCTGAACCAAGTGACCAAATAAAACCATACGCTGATCAAATCATTACTTCACCTTCATCGATGCACTGGTGATGTCCAGTTGTCATCTATCAGTGAATGAGGGGAATCACACCATACTTTTCATTTTATCGTTACATATTGGAACAGTAAGCCATCTAAGCTTTTCAGTAAGGCTAGTCATAAGAAGATTGTAGAGGAGACGACAAATAAGAAATCATATTATCTCATAACCAATCTGTCTCTTTTAAATACTTGCATTTAAATGCTCAGTTTATTCTCGTTTGGCTCTCTTCCACAGCTTCGCGTCTTTGATTCGTTTTCCTCGACTATTTGACCTTCAGTATGGAGCCAGCGAAGATAGCTGTTGACAAACATCCGCGCTAGTTTATTGAAAATGCCGTACGTGATGCAAGCGCAGTTGGAGTTTCTCACCGATAAAGGGGAATCGACCTAGTCATTGTATTTACACTGGTGTTGAAAAGAATTCAAATATTGTTTTTTTATGTTGTGGAGGAGAGCAGAAGATCTCCAGACTGATTTTAGATTGATGAAGCTGTCTGCTTTGCCTTGCCGTTTCTGGCTGGATTTGAAATATTCATGCATTCTGCCGGCTGACTGAATTGATGATTCCTAGCCGAATAAGTGAAGGAAGCGGATTCTTTCAAATTCCTCCTTTTGTTGCTGTTCATTGCTTTTCGCTGTGCGCACTTCACATGTGATCCTGTCTTTGATGCCCAGCTAGCCTCTTGTGCCAGTTTGATGGTTTTTGCCTACCTGTATCCTTCGAGTTTGTGGGACATTAGACATAGATCATCCACGCGTGAAATCCGGACCTTCAGGTTTTTTCACCTATTTGTGTGTTCTGAAGTAAGATTAGCCAATTTTAAGTGGTTGTGATTTAATGATTTCTGAATGCTTAAGGCAGTTTTCCTACCAGCATATGAGGTTGTCTAAGACAAGAAAGTCAGGCTACGAGAGGCCTTTGTTATTCTGAAATTAGTGTGGAAATGCACCGCTGCATTCATTTAGGAGCATAACCAACAAGACCCAAGCGAGTAATTCGATACGTTTGAGAGTCTCGCCTCGCGCGTCACTAAAAGCATTTTCAACAGACTACGGCAGACTTTCAGCAACAACTTGCTACCCTGGCTTTATTTTACTGAAGATCAAAAAGGACGCACCAGAAACCATAAGCTAAAAGGATCTCTATCAGCAAACAGAACCAAATATCAATCCGCCAACAAATATATACGGTGTATAAAATAGGGATGGATTGAACACATGCTGAGGCAATACTGAAGTCACATCATACACTAGCCAGGTCGTCGAGTGTAACTCCAGCTGGAAACAGTGGGAAATGTTGCATGTTTCCCTGGGAGTGGGCAAGGAGGAGACGGTGTAAGGTACAGTGTTGAAAGATTATGCCGATTCATGGGACGACCTGATTAAAAACAGCATCAAAGAAATATGATTCCTAAGACTTGTATTCCTTTCAGAATCTAAGAGTATAATTATAATAAGAACTTGATCAATATTTTTATGTGTACGTTTTATTATTTACATTGTGCATATATTACGTTGTCTTTATTCATGAGAAATTTCATCCGATTTTTACCCTTCATACCTTCTGAATGTTAATTGATGACGATTTATTTGTTATTGGATGGTTGTAGGTGATAAGAAAGAAAGCTTCCAGAGGCATAAATCTCGTGCTTACTGGCACCTGCCAGTCAGTAGGGAGTACCTGCAACCGTCTTGAAGGAATTCATATTCCCTTTCTCATTGAGATTAGAACGCGTGTCACCCACTGCTTCAGTCAGACATGTTGTTATCGATGAGCTCTTTTCACTCATAATTGAAGATACTCTTTTGCTAACTGAATGTTGAGTGTGAAGAAGCTCGAAACATGGGTCCCTACAAGGCTTTCTTAGGTCAGCTGCCTCCATTCATCAGAAATAGTAGTAATTCAGAGTGTATCTTGGCGTTGGTCCACCTGGCTTGATGGTGACCTTATTGCAAACTTGACTGATGGTAGAGTTTAGTCTGCCCCAATACACAAGGGACTAGACATATGACACTCATCAATTGCCACTTGCTGTTTAATCAGAGAACTTGTTTTTCTGCTTCGTTTCGGAAAACAATGATTTGACAGGTTACTTCCGCATTAAAAAATATTTAAATATCTGATTACTTCTGATCACACTGAACTCCTAGGTGTTCCTGAATTTTCACAAACATACTTTGACAATTTGTTCCTCTTATCAAAAGGGATTTTCCCCTCACCGTTTCTGTAACTCAGCTCAAAGAGCCGAGTCAATTCAAACCACCGGAATTATGGTTAACTACTTCGGTGAACTGATATTACATCACATCAAATTCATAGGGGTTACAAATGGATTTCCGGATCATCACGGTTCAAAATGAGACACCACTATCATCTAGTGAATTAAGCCGAAGTTAAGAAATCACCGAAAGGGGATTCAAATCCAGATCTCCTAATATTCCTGATCTCTGTGGTCATTATACCATTAGACGTCAGACGCCCATCCTTTGATATAATCTTTTTTTGTCAGCTCAAAATTAGAAAACAAAAAAATGTTTCTAAGCATTTTTATTCGAATTTTACAGAAAAACTCACAAAAATACACATTTAAACACCAGTTTTACGGGATAATTTTGACGTATATGAATGTAATTTATTATTATGCAGTGCACGATATTCACAAAAGAGAAACATTCACATGAATAAGTTTACTGAGGAATGCCTATCAGGAAATGATGAAATGAGTACTCATAAGTTATATATTGCAAGTGAAAATTCATTTCTATATGAGGTATTTTCTTCAAAACATTCAATGCAAAGCCTTTTATCCGCATTGACTGATTCAATTACAAATATTCACTGAACATTGAATGTACACATTGAACATTGTACATGTTTGAGGGAAATTCAAATGAAAAAAGTTGAAACATGAGAAATTTATACAGTAAAATGAAATCTAATCATTTTTATAGTCGGTGAGTAAGAGATTGTCTTAAACCGATGTCATATACGTTTCATTTCTTCCTTCATTCACTGGATGCATACTGTTGGCCTTATCAGGTTCGTTTATACCGGTATGATTTTTGTTGTTACTACTGTTATTATTATTATGACTTGTTCTAGAATCTGTTCTTTCCATAGTGCTCAGACGATAAGCAAACTCGATGAGTTCAACAACAAATGCTGCAGTTAGTCCAATACTCAGAGAGCACAAACCACCAATACGACTCAACAGGACACTGATGCTTAGAACTAATTTTTGTTGACTGACGCGTACATCTCTAGCACGTCGTTTCAATACCACATAAGCGAAATTATCGCCTTTTAAATTGAGATCATTGATCGCATTTGAAGAGATCTTGAGATACGCAGAGAAAAAGAGAGAGATACATGAACATCGAAAGGAAACCATATGGAAAAAGAAATATATCGATAAATAAATCATTACATATCAAGTTGAAATTTACTGGAAGAACTTGATATCTCATGCAAGAATTCCCTTCTATAAAAGATTAAGCGCAGATCTATGCAGGAAGTATCCTACAGTAAAAACAGTCTCTCTGCTACGAATATTCCCCTCGTTCTTGCAGTCAAAGATCTACAGGTACCCTTCATATGTTACCTACAATTGTTTATAGCAATTCACATGTATCTGCAGGAGCGGTCACATCGGAAGAACACAAGGAATAAGGGCTTACCTGAGGTTCTCCGAACATGTACCAGGAAGCTCCTCATTCACTAAACACAGGACATCGCGTGGACGTGCTAGCATCATTCAAAATAATAAACAGAAAGGTAGCTCAAACCTTATTCGGATTGGTAAGGCTACCTCAACAAAACGGCTGAAACCTAACCTATGTCCAAAAGGAATTTGCCGCTGAACTCCAACTACCCTGGTACCTCGTCCCTTAATAAATCTTTGTTTCCTAATTGGATTAACTTTTCTTTTCAACGCCTCCTCCCCCAACTCTGTTCCATCTGACTTTCGTAAGCGATGATTCTTCTTGAACTTATGAGTTGTACTCACCAAATTACACCACTGTCTTCCATTTGACCGAATTACGATCTTTCCTAACTGAAGTACGTAACTGTTACTGATTTTCTGTTAACATCGTAACAGCGAACTTGTCAATTAATTTTCTAGAAACTTATCTCTAACCAGATGTACATATATATGCAGTGGAATAAATCGACTATCTTCTAACCCCTATGTTTAATAATACTCCTGTTGCTAGATAAAAGTATGCGCACACGTTACACTGACTTATATTTATCAAACGTTACAGGTTACAGGCAGCTGACGAGATAAATCGACGAGATTAAATGGATCCATGTTATCCTGCGCCAATATTTTTTGTTCATTCCCTGCCCAGACTTGTCACTTCGTTGCAAAGACAGCCTAGGGAGGGACATTTTGCTCACTAGACTTTTACTTTTGTTATTTTCTAGTGGGTAAATGATCGGGGACCTAAACGAAGAATAAGCAACATTATTTTACCATAAACCAATGTGCATTGACAAATCAACCTATTTCCTAATGTTGGGCATAATAGCCTAATGGACAGCTTAGACCGTCATGGTTTCCTAAAAGATAGGCAAAAGCCATTCGAATCTCAATATTTTGTGTCACATTTAGTTGATAGTGGTCACTTAGTGGGAAAAAATGCAAAGTCATTCAAGGTGAAGACTTATCCCAACATATCACATTATATCGAATATTTCAATGGAGTGCATATTTACCAAATACAGTATAGAGATGAGAGGACTGACATTCGAACAACTGACGAAGACAGGAATACACTGGACTGTCACGAAGATTCTGGAAGGTCTGGATTTGTATCTTATGTCACACAAACACGAAGAAGACGAGCAAGGGAAAACTAACGAACTGGCAGAAGAGGCTAATCTGGCATTAAAGACTGGAGTACACGTGGATTGGACATAGAGAAGACGGAGGAGGTGGAGATGACCAACCAATCAGCCGGCAAGCAACGACCAGCTCCAACTACCATCAACCGTAGAGACTTGTCAGATGTTGCTTCCTTCACTTATTCGGCTAGAAGGTATCATTTCGACCACAGATGACACTACTGCTGAATACGCAGAAATCAGACAGAATCGACAAGATGAGATACGCCCTCATCCATCTGAAACCAGTTAAGAAGTCGTCTGCACTCAGCCAGCATAAAGCACAAGCTGAGAATTTTCAACACCAATGCTGATTCATTTAGTGATTAAGTTCTTCTATATTGACGAGAGGCGTGCACTCCACGTCTGTCACGGAAAACATTTCCAATAAACTAGCGTGGAACTTTATGAAATGCTGTCTTCTTTGGTTCAATACTGAAGGTCAGATAATCGAAGAAAAGGAATCAGCGACAAGAAGCTGTGGGAGAGAGCCAACCGAGAAGCAACTGCTCAACAAATATATTTGAGAAAATGGAGTTTGATTGGACATGATTTGATGAGAACATCGAATGATATGTCACACCCGCCAGGTCATCATTGGAGTAGAACGAGATTAGGAAACGAAGAGTGGGGTGTGTGTCTGAGGGTGGCATGGCGGAGATCGTGATATGCGGCGGGAGTGATAAGAGTTTATGGGCAATTATGCAGCCAGCCAGCTAAAGACAACATCATATAATAGAGCGAATTACAGATGCTCTCAGTTTGAAGCTGTATTTTGTTCTGGGGACTGAAGTGGACAATAAATAATAGAATATCAAGTGGAAGTATCCACATCTTTTGGGTAAATTTCACCATGCTAGACACTTTCTGAAAAATTATACACAAAACTCACGATTGTACAGCTCGATAATAAATTCATTGAAAAGAAAGAGTATCTTCGTTGATTATTGTTTTCTTCAAATGTGAGGAAGTTAATGGAAACTCACTAATGTGATCCCTTGAGTTACATCACATGTCAGCCTCTCCAGAGAGTGAGAAGCAACCAAACTGACATTTCTGAAGCTTATACTGGAGACAAAATGTGTTTCACAGAGTCCACGTAGTGTTGCAAAAAGTACAGGATGAAGTGAAACACAGTTCACCTTTCGAACATTAGATATTCCATAAATCCTAAGGAAGTGGTCTTCAGAAATGATCTTTCTTATGAAGTAACTTTGTCTTGCAGTAAAAATGCTCCTAGCAGAACATATTTATAAACCTTTCCACATATTATGTTAGTGAAAACGTAATAATGTTGGGAGTGATTTATGTTTTCCACATCAGTACTTGATCCTCGATTAACTTCTGAATAAAAAGAGTCCACGAAAATTAAGACTAGAAGACAGACTGATTCGTGCCAGTGAGATCATATTGTTTGTATTAGTCAAAAGTGCATTAATCACAAATACTAAATACCTCAGATAGTTAAACCGGTAAATTAACCAATGTAAACGGTTATCAGCTAAATGTTATCCAGCCACACTACAATCAGTATTTAATCCTATTGAAACTTATCTGCTATAATTAATCCTCTCTCACCTGGTTTTAGCCACTTCTTAGGATAGCTGCATGCACATCAAAAACTACTCGAACAACCTGATGACTATTTAATTGAATTTTAGATTTTCCCGTTGGCTGATTGGATCGAAGTGCTCGGTGGTCTCAGGTTGACATGTCGGCTTCTTGTGCAGATGCTTCAACAATGTCTGAACATGTAATTAGAATTTAATTGGTGGATGATGACTACCAGTCGAATCCAGGATGCTCATTTCGTCCTATTTGGGACTCGTCAGATGGATGTACCTGCATTCCTTAGTGAGTAATGATTCTCCAAATGACGAGGCCCAAGTAGAACGAAGTGCCCATCCTGGATTCCGCTGCTAGTCACTATCCACTAATTAAAACCTAATGGCTAGGTTATCATATTTGCAGTTTACAAATCAATTTCCAATTTCTTTTGAAATCAGAATTATTACTAACAGGAATAATATGTGACCTACTTTACACTGCCATAAATAGTAGTCGTTCTCCCTTAGTTGGTTGCTTTAAGTCTGGCAAATAATTTTCCTTATTCAGTTTGTTTAAATCTAGTAAGATATGAAATCTAAAATTATTAGTTCTTTACTCTGGCGAGTATTTGTAAAAACATTCACAATCTGCTCACTCTCAAGCTTCTATTAAACATGAGAGAAAGCATTATTCTCGATGGTTTGCAGATTATCCTGATACATTAGATGACTGTCCCTTTGTTGTGTCCTCGGTTCACCAATATGTACATCTTAACATCTTATGATGACATTCAACCAAATGCCGATGTGTATTTCTCGAAGGAGACGATGAAGAGGTATTATAATGGTGGATTGGTTTGCGCTTCAGGGTGGATGAAACTATGTCACATGATCTAGCGCCAATGAATCATTTTTTTGAAGATTCTGGAGGAAGATAATTTGTCGTGTGATCAAGCCCTCTGAAGATTTCGTACATTATATTAACATTGTTTCAAAATAAAGCTACTAGGAATAATATTAAAGAACCACAATTGTGTATCAGGACAGATATTTTATGAGCTCACATTTTATGATTATTTTGGAGGATTATTCTTCTCATAGCTGAATACAGCTTGAAAAGTAGAAGGGAAATTTTAACTACAATAGGAATACTTCAAATATTCTGCCTTTTCTGTGATGACAAGGAGTAAGTGATTATATGCAGCATAAGTCAGTGCCATCTTTCGGACACTGATTATCCAACCCGAAGGCGTTGAAAATAATCAACAGGAAAAAGAAGCCAAGCTCGCCGATGCTTTTCTCTGAGGCAGTCGGCATTAAACGAAATATAACCGAATCTATGTAGGCAGTGGGAGACAGTGGTAAATCCTGCACTCACTACCTTGATGATTAAACCAACAATAACAAGGTATCAAGTTTGATCACAAGTTGCCATCAGTTGGAGAACCGTTGGGAAGCGAAAAGGAAATACTAGAAAGCTGTTCCGTTCTAGTTCGTCATTCTTTAATGGTAAGCACCTAATGCCAAGGTTTGAATTCGAGTCAATCTCGTAGACAACCATTTGGCCACTGGAACCCGATCCAGCGATCGATGCATGAGTTCAAACTTCCACCATTTCATGAATTTAGCACGACCGGCAGTATCCAGTCTCATCTATGGTGAGTATTTCTCCTCAAACCCGATGTCTTGTTGAACTCCATACTGATCACAATTTCTCATCAGATTACTTTAGGAAACTTCGTGACTTTTAGCAGTACGAACCCACAGCTGGTGTTTGAAGTTAGAATGCAAGCAGTGGCCAATGAGTCACGTCCGAGTTTTCTACGAGATTGCCATTATAACCAGGGTGTGGTGAATGCATATTGCTCAGGAGTCAAAAACCAGAGCAAAATAACCCTCCAGTACACTTTTGTGGTTTTTAATAGTTCACTAAATGAAGACAGTTAGTGTAGTTACACAACCTATTCAGCACTGTTACACTCTTTCTAATTAAAATCTTTTTCCACTCTGTAACTGATTTTTGACTCTTTATAGAAGAGTATTCGTGTAATCATCATAAAAGTGACATCAATATATAATTTAACAACTTACATTATTCTGGATTTACGTTGCTCTTAATCTATGTGAACTGACTGAATGACTGAAAACGAACAAATCAATAACATACTGCCTACCCAATAAATACTCAGAAGAAAGTTGAGATTTCATACATTTGGTTCCCTTGATAAATTTCGATAAAGAAAGGAAGACGAAATTTGCAGTATAAAATGATATCATCATTCTATTTCACAGGTTCTCATCAGCTGTAGACTACCTGAAATTACAATCGTTATGTAGATGATAATAACATACTTCAATGTTAACGTGCAAGTAGAGAAGAGATACTTTAATATTGATGCATCTAAATAAAAGCATTACAATGTTTTTAGTTTAAGTTTTCATCGTCAAATTATACGCTTTCGAAGTAGGGAAGAGGGGGTAGATGTAAGACACAAAACATAAAACTGTTCTGTTAATTAATTTTTTCTGTTTTCTGTCTTACATCTGCCCACTCTTTCCTACTTCGAAAGCGTATAATTTGACGATGAAAACTTAAACTAAAAACATTGTAATGCTTTTATTTGGATGCGTCAATATTATAGTATCTCTTTTCTACTTGCACTTAAACATTAAAGTATGTTATTATCATCTACATAACGATTGTAATTTCAGGTAGTCTACAGCTGATGAGAACCTGTGAAATAGAATGATGATATCATTTTATACTGCAAATTTCGTCTTCCTTTCTTTATCGAAAAGTGGAGATTGATTGGACATACGCTGAGGATGCCGTTGACTGACACCGCATACAAAGCCCACCCTAAAGTGGAATCTAACTGGGAGACGATGGGCTAGGTAGTGATCCGAGTATGACACAGAGAAGATTGACTGCTGGAAGTGGAGATGAAAGATTATCGGCAATCGTGGTGACAGCTATAGGATGCCGTAGAGAACAATAAATCTCCTTCGGCTGAAGCCATATGATCTACTTGGAACCCATGGGAGTAGTAGTAATATGATAGTTCTTATTGATTACTCCTTGTTATCGGTGGTGGTTCAGTGGCAGAATCCTCACCAACCATGCGTGTGGTCCGAGGTTCGATTCCCTTTACTTCCTCCAGGCGGATGAAATCCTTAAAAAGAGGGAAGGTTGAGTGTGAAGCTGAGAACGTCACCCCGAAGGAAGCAATACTACCATTGAGACTGCAGAGCTTAAGCTTAAAGTCCTGTGAACCATCAGGAGAGCAAAGGGACACAACAATAAAAGTAAAAATAATAATAACGAAGGAGAAAGCACATTGAAATCTCTTTAATGTGATTTACATTTATGCTTTTTTATTCAGGTTGTGTAGCCAACCAAGAAAAGAATAATCCACGAAATCATAATAATAGTTGAGCTCATGTCATATAAACGTTCTGTTTAAATTACCCGATTAGACTAGAGTGCATTTCTAATTGATATGAGCTGTGTGCAGTCACTCATCGCAGTCAATTAGTATTTTATAGTTGAATGCAGAACAACTCATACTATCTCCTTGTTCTGATACACATTAGTCGTTCTTGCTTGATCAAGTTTATCCACAACAAGAATAGTATGAATATTACTAAATTCTTACATTTGTCAGATTATCCTGTTCATAATATTCTTTCCATCGTTGAAATCCATAACTGTTTGTAATATTCCATTCTTCCCCATGCTGTTTTGCTTCATGCTGCATTGATTTAAAAGCTCTGTTCAACTGTCGAAGCCAGTGAAGTTGCCAGTCAACAGCTCTCCATGTTGTCACCGAGATTGTACTCTCATAAGTGTAATACTGACATCTTGGCAGACAGATTGTTCTTTCATAATGTTGTCTAACTGTAGCCTTCAGAGGGCCAGATGTGAGACACTGGACGCGTTCACTTAACACCATCACATTGATACCATTCTCCATAATCGATCCACAATAGGGAAGATCAGGTGACGGAAATTGTGGACGTGGATGGTAGATATATTGACAACCACACTCTTTGATTATATCCTCTTGTTGATGGAATAATATACACTGGGGTTGAGTGTATCTATAGGAAACATTCAGATCATGATATGCGTAAGCATAATCAGAGTTTAGAGATTCTGCTAGAGTATGATCTGTGATGCGTGCCAGTTCAGGATCACGATCTATGTGTTCCTGTCTACATGGTCTTTGTGGAGTGTCTAAAAGTTTCCACAGGACTGGTTTGTAATTGATTTCATTCAATTTTCCTGGTTCCACATGAAGACCTTCACGTTCCAGATCTGGATAGGTCCCAGGTTCGTGGACAACAACACTTTAAAATGGAAACAGAGGAAAAGAATCAAATGCATAATAATAATGATTTGAACAAAGCAAGAACTACAATTTTAGCAGAATAAAATGGTACCATCTTTTATTTCGTTGCCTTCTAGTCAGCTGCTCACAGGGCAAAGACATTATTAAATATATCTACAAAAACCATTTTAACATACTTGCACAGAGTTCATTTAAAAAAAAATTAATCGCTCAATATATGCATATATATACATATATATCTGCAGTATTAAACACTATTCCGAACAATAATGATCATACACAATGGAAACGTTTCAGCATTTCGCATTCAGATGAAAGAGAGATGAAAAATATCCAGTTACCAGACAGGGCAGAGAAATACTGATAACCGCTTCCTTCTGGACGCATAAATCAGGTTTCAGGCGCTTGATGCAAATGGCTTCAGCAAACTTAAGGAGAATTGAGCTCTTCTGCCTCCTGACAATTTTGAACGACTTCTCGACGTCCACTTTATGACCCATGTCGAGGAGATGCCTAGTGATAGCCCTGTTTAATGCATTTGCTCCCTTTAGACGTAAGCTTTTTGGTACATGTTCAGAAAATCGTAGATATGCCCTTCTTTCGGTTCTTCCAACGTAACCGCTCCCGCAGATATATGTAAATTTGTATATATAATTGGAGTTAACATGAGAAGGATATCTATCGATTTTTGATTGCACCAAAGAGCAAGTTGTTCGATAGATGGGAACGAGCTTAGCTGCAGGATAGGCTATGGCTAGTGATGTACTCAGCCTTCTGTTGATCATCGCTTCAATATTTTCACCTTTATAATCAAGCTGAATGTAGATTGGCTTTTTCCCACTGTGATTTGTTTGACATTTGTGACTTCAGATCTTCCATACTTGTTGATAAACCTTTTAGGGTAGCCATTGCTCTTCAATATCTTTTCAAGGAACTCAAGTTCTTCCTATAATGTCTCTATAGAGCATATTCTCTTTGCTCTACAGTACAGAGTCTTGACTAGACAACGTTTAAAGCTATCTGGACAACTAGAAATTTTTTGTATTTCCCAATGAATGAAAAACAAAACGAGATTGTTTCTACTGACGTTTCGCTATTTAATGCTAATAACTTTCTCAAAGTATTATTAAACCGGAATTTACAAAATCTCAGCATATATATAACAAAGAATTAGGGGTGAGAAAAAAATATATAGACTTAGTTCAACTTAAAAGGACATATTTAAAGTTAAAATAACAATGAAGATCGTTCAAACCAAATATCAAAGGTAATAGTATATCTGTTATTATATCAAAATAAAGTTTACTAACTTGATCATTGTTCGTTAGTCTGGGGTCATTTTTGGTTGTCAAGTTAGCGAACTGGTAAAGATAGTAAATTTTCTATAGTTTGGTTTGTAAGGATTAGTTATGTTTTACGAGTTGATCACGGATTGATATCAGTTAGAGAACCATTGAAAACCAGGGAGTACTGGACAGCTGCTGTTTCATCCTAGTTTGGGAATCATCGGCAGTACGCACCCAGTACTACCTGGTTTTCAATGGTTCTCTAACTGATATCAATCCGTGATCAACTCGTAAAACATAACTAATCCTTACAAACCAAACTATAGAAAGTTAATCTGATGCTCGCTAGTGACTTGCTACAGGTTGGAGTTTCCTGAGTTCTAGTGAGAAGTCGTGACCAGTGAGGTCCAATTAGATGTCACGTGTGTGGATGGATGTCCCACCAACGACAATGGTTGGGGTCGCGCTAAATCACGAATTGGTAGAAGTTAGAATTCACGAGCCATTGAATCGGGTCCCAGTGGCTGAATGGTATACGAGCTTGCCTTGTAACCGGAAGGTCCTGGGTTCGAAACCCAGTGGGTGCGTACTGCCGATGATTCCCAAACTAGGATGAAACAGCAGCTGTCCAGTACTCCCTGGTTTTCAATGGTTCTCTAACTGATATCAATCCGTGATCAACTCGTAAAAGATAGTAAAACCAAGTGTAGATTGTTGGATTTTGTCAGTGTGTAGAATTATGAAAGTAGTGTGCGTTTACACAGTGAACCTGCTCACCACATTTGCGTTGATTTTGCTACTTCATGGGGAGGGTGTTGTAGCCAGGTTAGATTCTGTTCTAGTCCATCATTCCTATTCAGGCAATTTGGATTCCACTGAATAGGAATGATGGACTAGAACAGAATCTAACCTGGCTACAACACCCTCCCCATGAAGTAGCAAAATCAACGCAAATGTGGTGAGCAGGTTCACTGTGTAAACGCACACTACTTTCATAATTCTACACACTGACAAAATCCAACAATCTACACTTGGTTTTACTATCTTTACCAGTTCGCTAACTTGACAACCAAAAATGACCCCAGACTAACGAACAATGATCAAGTTAGTAAACTTTATTTTGATATAATAACAGATATACTATTACCTTTGATATTTGGTTTGAACGATCTTCATTGTTATTTTAACTTTAAATATGTCCTTTTAAGTTGAACTAAGTCTATATATTTTTTTCTCACCCCCTAATTCTTTGTTATATATATGCTGAGATTTTGTAAATTCCGGTTTAATAATACTTTGAGAAAGCTATTAGCATTAAATAGCGAAACGTCAGTAGAAACAATCTCGTTTTGTTTTTTCATTCATTGGGAAATACAAAAAACCTCTATTATAATGAATATCATATACCCAATGCCTAATTTTTTCAAACTGTTAAAAGTGAACTTGGTTTGGATATATACTATCTGGACAAAAGCTATTGAAATTTAAATATTATCCCTTTCATGTTACGATGATTTGCTATATTCCAAAACAGTACTCATGATACAGTGTGGAATTTCCAACATTTGCTACAATATTATCACGTCTGATTTACTTAACGACAACAACAACAAACCTAAAATTATTGATTATATCCATCAACAAATTTTGGCATTAGCAGAAACAGAAGGGTCGAAACGATGCACAATTGTAAAATGATAACAGTAGTAAAATTGGTATTAATAACACAAAACTACAGGATAATCAGAATAGTGATTGTCAGCATAAAATTATCAATATGAGAGAATAACTGAGTCATTTTTTCTAAGTGCTAACTACACAGTAATTCGTATGTCTCACGTTCAATTTCATCTTTCATAATGACTTATAATCCTACCTGATGAGGTGCAGCAAGTGGGGGGGAGGAGTTGTGGATAGGATGGGTATTGTGAGTCAGACAGTATGGTTTTGAACTGTTTCTCATATGAGTTGTTCAGGTGTCTATCGTCTTTGATAGTAACGAGCCGACTTGGTTGGTGGTGTGATACAGACAATGTGTGCCAACGAAATGTTATTCTCACATGTTCCCACAGTTCACTTTGGCATTAACAACAGAATACTATGCATGTATTTGAACATTCTATTTCATATCGTTGAATGTAAGCCAAAATCATACGCTTAGGATATGAGTTTTCTACTCTGGAAATTTACAGATAACGCTTATTAGCACTTGTATGGTTTACAGAGTGAACGTGTCCATGATCACAATCGTTTTTGACAAGACTTCAAAAAATTAGTAATAAAGCTGATTTCACTGCCTCCACAATGAGTAATATAGATGGTCAATAAATAAACGATAAGTAAATTATCAGAAGAACTCTGGTCTGATCAACCAACTGAAATCCTTCAAAACCAACACGCGACAATGAATCTAATGCTCACCACTGACTGGCTCTATTCGCGAAAGTAGTTACCTGGGTTCTAGTGAGAATTCATAATCAGTGAGGTCCAATTTCGAATACGATGCTACATTTTCAGAGAGACATAGAAGACCTTTTGTGTGTAAATACAATAGGTTCTGGGCCGTCGTATAGGTCAGTTGAAGGTGGTACGAGTGCGTCAATGACACATCGGTTAGGACTCTCGCCGACTATGCAAATGGCCCGGAGTTCGATACCCTACCGACGCACACCTGATATCTATTGGTCGGCATGCAAATTTTGAGCTACCGATATCACATGCTGAAAATTCCATACTCGTACCGAAATCCTGTGTGGAATCAAGCTATAATAAAAATAATTACATTGTATTTGGTATTTTATATAAGGTTTCTCTTATTTGAATCTACCTAGTCCTTAAGCCGAAAACGTATATCTCCGAGAGAGTTTATCAATTGTTTGATTGATTTAAATGGCACCACAACTAATTCCAGCCTCGTTGAGAATCCTACGTAGTGACTCTGACATTCCTTCTTTATACAGTAGGCAATGCTACACAGGCTTTGAGTTCTATATCATTCTTATTGCTTTCGCTATTTACATTACTAATACTATTCTCTCTACGGTTTCGCATGCATTTCTGAATCAATTCTGGTGGGGGTAGCTTTGTTAATCACGAGTAACATTTTCTTTATTTGTTTGATTTGGTTATTTAAATCATCTGGCCTACTAATTAGTCAGGCTACTGTCCCGATTATAATAGACATTTAACTAAACCTAACTTCCTTCACCGATTTTGGGTGAGATGAATTAAAGTCTAGTCTGGGTATTTGTTAGGATATGTGTCAGTTTCCTGTAAATGCTAGTGTCTAGACCAAGAATTACTGACCCTGGTTAGTTAAATAACCTAGATAAAACATAGCTCATCCACTGCATTGCATTAATTTGCATATAATTACAAAATAGGGTGGGACAGGTTAAGAGTGTTAAGAAGTAGTATAATTGGCTGGAGACAGTAAGAGAGAACGGTTAGTAACTTATTTTTTCTTTATCGGATCAGCAGATGGCACAGGGATAATCGGAATTACGAAACACCTGTATCGGAGATAGGGAAAGTGACAAAAAACAACAGGGAGAAGAGGGAGAGTGTTCTCTTACTGTAATTAATCCATGATCAAACTTCAAACATATGAAATGCCTACATAACTTAACGTCTGGCAATTTTCGACATACCATGACCGCTAGATAACGCCTTCGGCAAGTAATTCCATATTAGTTTGTTTATTAGATGTGTC